TTATTTGTTTGTCATGTTCACTCATCGTGGCGTGGTTCTCTAAAAACACATCTCTGTTTCGTGCAATGTCTTCTAATGGTTTACGTTGATATCACAGACCAGACACCAAAGCATATGAATTTGGGTCGATATATTGCCTCAAATGTGGCCACTCTTAAATTATTCCGCGAACAATCTACAAGTGGTGAAAATGGAGTGTCAACATTGAAGGCTCTCTCGTCTGTGATGTTATCACTACAAAGGTAGTTAATAATGATTATTATGTCTCTCTTTTCGGTGTCCTGATTTGTGATTGTGCATTCTTTCTCTGTTAATTTTATGTAATCTATTTTGTACCCTTTGATTCCTTCCCTTTTTGTTCCTGGTTTACTGGTGCAATTTTCATAAATCCATGATGTTTAGAGTCAACAATTTTGGGGAATATGTGTTTGTGTATATAGCTATAAATTGATTTATAGCCAAGTTAAGCTATGGAGACTCGTTAGCTGGCTTATGAATGCCCTTAGAATTTTGAGGCAGTTTTTCTTCTAAAAAGAAAAGTGCAATTTGATGTCAGAAATTGATCAAGAGTTTATGGTCTGTGTTATATGATTTGGACAGAAAATTGAAGAAAGAATCCTTCCATTAACTGTGTTTAGATTGAGGTACTGGCTTGTTGAAGTGCTTAACAGAGGCTAGATGTCTTTCTGTGAAAAACCTCATCGATCTGGCAATCCTCCATGATTGAAGTCCTAGAATTTTGGTACCTTTTAGTTAGATCAGTAGGTTTTTAGTTTATATTTTTACACATATATCTCATGTACAAAACGTTTCCTTTTTCTCCAGATATGAATTCAAAACAAACTATGAAGATTGGGTTCAATCAGTCAAGCCCAGACTAGGATCTGATGTCTGTGACCGTGTTCTTGCAGCAATCAATAGCACCCATGAAGATGTGAAAGCTTACTATAAAGTCAGGGGTGAGATGCGAACTGCATTTCAAAGTCTGTTGAAGGTGCGTTCTACTCTAGGATCTTTTTTAATGAGTCTTTATACTTGGTTTGCTCAGTTATTAGTTTTTAATAAGAAAAAGGTTAATCATTCAGAAGGCACCAAAGATGTTGCCTGAATATAAAAAGCTTTCGTATAAGAAATTTCATTTACGAGGTGCAGAAGCTGTTCATTTTTAGTGAAAGTATGACTGATAAGTTATTCATAAAAAGTCACTAGCACTATGAAAAGGGGTCTCACCCCACATGGACCAAGGAATTGGAAAGAGGAATAAGTCATCTCACTTTGCTGTTTCTTCTGCTCTTCTGGATGCTGTTCCACACTCGAAAGTAAATCCCTACCACCACCTGATGACCCTTCCTGAGATCGAGAACTCTACCAAAAGCTCACCCTTCCCAAAGTAATTCTCCCAAAAAGCTCTCTGGACCAGCCAAGGAGACAAAGAAAACAAGTTGGAGATTCAGTCTTAACATTACATAATAAGCTTTTGTTCATTAAGGTTATACCCCTTTTAGCCAGATTATTAAATGTAAGAAATGTGGTCTAAATCTGCTTCCTTAGTGAAAAAATCTACCTAGGAGAGCGCCCCAAATTTCCAAACAAGATCCAGATTTACTCACTTTTTAATGTGAATGTTCTTCTGCTTTCTCAATTCTTGCTGGCATGCTTGCAGATTGTGTAACAGTGACCTTTTCCAGAAAACATCTTGCTGGCTTCTTTGTATTTCTTGGATATACAACTCTATTGGATTTTCTGAATAGCTTGTCTTTCTTTACTAATCCATTTTACAATTATAATACCCTGGTAATGTGGATTTTTTTTTTTGGAAAAATTGTTGAGAAGATGATGTGACTTACTGTTTTATTGGAAAAGAAGAGAAAGAGGGGGGAGGAAAGAAAAAACTAAACAATGGAGATTTTAGATCTTAAAAATAATTCCTGAAATTTCCAAAATCTCCACTATTTGTTTTATATCTTTTTTGTGCTCTCTCTTCTTTTCCCACACTGGTACATGTTACCAACATTAACAATAGCTGCAAAAGTAGTAGAAGCCATTTATAAAATATAAAAAATCATCCATGTTAGTTTCTTCTTGTTCTTCATTATGCTGCCTATTGCTAGCTGAAACCATTTGTAAAATATCAAAATTTATGTCTTTCTATTTAACTTGGCTGTGTGAAGGCCTATTTTTAACTTTATTTAGCTATTCAAATATATGGAAGTTAATTTTGGTGGCTAAAATGTACTAAAATCTCTTACTAAGAGATTGAGATGGGAAACCCCCTTGTAGATTTTTTATTTTTTTATCAAAAAGGGACTCAGGAGTCAGCACTCATTAAAGGATCATGTAATCCCGTTACATGAAATTTTCTAAAGCCAAAACAGATTACTTCTGAAATGAAAAGGGAGAAAAGAACCGTTCATCAAATCTATCTGATATTTCAGTAAACACGATATTTGATTTCTTGACCAGATACGTTATTTTCAGTTTAAAACGAAATATCTTGTTTATTGTGGTGTTCGTATTAGGTGAATGGAGATCTAGTGAAGTATGATTAGCATAAGCATGACATGCATGAAGGCTCTTTGAAACATAGTACCTGGAATAGAGTCAGGCAAACTTGCATAAAATTTTTCACTGGCAAAGTGGTGTCAGATGTATATATTTTTTTAAAGAAGCAGGGAATAGGCCTTTGTTAACAGCGCAACAAGGCGGCACCCATAGGTAAAATAACAAATGGTCTTTAGCCAACATACTGATAAGGCCTGCAGATGATTCCTAAACCCACAAAAAGGGTTATAGAATCTTCAAAATCAAACCTATTTCTCTTTTTCTGAAATACCCAAAAAAAAGGAAGAAAGATGAGAGAGAATAAATTCCTTGTATGCTTAATCACTGAGAAACAATTCCATGCTCATACTCGCTCTGGACAACTGAAATTTGCCAATTTAAGGCTGATCAAAATGAGAACAGAAGAGTTTCATAGCCTCCTAGATCATCTACACCACAGAATGAGATGGTCAGGGGATTCATACTGTATTGACCCTTATCCTGCATTATAAATTCATTTAATTTTTTCAATAGTTACATGTTGAAATAAGTTTTTAGATTACTGGACAATGACTAGTAATGTTTTTCTTTTTGCACTGAAGGTGACTTGTAAGATTTTTGGATGCTCTGTATTTGTAAAATCACATTTTGCTGTCCTTTATTTCCCCAGGATGATCAAATATTGGTGATACCCACTATTGCTGACCCTCCTCCAAAGCTTAATACAAAGAAAGGTCATTTGAGTGAGTTCAGTAATAGATTGCATGTACTCTCTAGCATCGCAAGCATGTCTGGTTGTTGTCAGGTATTGCAAGCCAGTCTTCAGCTTTTCTGGTTATGGTTAATTTTCTGTAACATAATTTTTTTCTCATGGTTTTCTTGTTTACTAATTATTTCTTAATGGGTTTCCACACAATCCATTGCCAGGTTGTAATCCCATTAGGAAAACATGAAGGTTTTCCAATTTCCGTTTCATTAATCTCATACCATGGAGCTGATAAATTTCTTCTTGATACGGTCTTGGATATGTACTCATCTCTTCAAGAGCAAGTCACAATTGCATCCAATTTAGTGCATGAGCCGGATAGCAATGGTAATATTGATGCTTCTGAACTCTTGAAGGAAAAGGTTTGTCCTCAGCTTATTTATTTTCCAACACCTAGATTGATGCTTTATCTGGAGAATATTTACTCATGCAAACATACATATTTTTGATTGCTAGATGCCGCCTTCAACATGTTCTTGTCAAGATCTTGATTACATTAAGATGCCATCATAAGATGAGATTGTTGTGCATTTGAAATAGGATCCTTTTAACTCATTTGCTCTTGAAATTGTTCATGGTGTCTGCATCTCCTAGTTAGTGCAAATTAGAGATTCCATTTTTGGTGGTAGTCCTCAATACTTATCGGCTTATAATTAATCTTCATGCAACGTGCTTGTTGAATGTGAATATAAGCAGGAGATGGAGAGAAGTAGAAGAGTTTTTTAAGGCATTCCTTTTTATAGGATTGAAGATAATGGTTTCAGATTTGTGTATTTTGTTCTAAGGTCAACCCTCTCTAATGAAGAGATTTAGGGGATCTTGATATTTTTGCTCGTTTTTTATCCTTTCCATGTATGATTGGCATCCTCGGTGCATGTCTATATGTTTGGATCTGTGTGTGAGTGTGTGTTTTTTAAATCAAAGCATGCTTTATGTCAGGGATTCCTAACTTATTGGTGCTAGGAAGTAAAAATGGCTTATCACTTAATTCAACATAGATAGAAAATTGGAGAGGTTGAAGAGCAAATAAGAAGTACTTAGATCATATAGAAAGTTACATGGAAATACAAGAGGAGAGTTGTGAATGTTGAAATGTACTGAAAATTAGTTTTGTCTGTTCAGAGTACTTACTCTTATTTGAGCACCATTTAAGCTACTGTCAATTGTATCTTTGTATGTATTTTCATAAGGATTTTTAAAGCGGCTTTCTGCATTCCTTTTTCTTTACAGTACGTTAGGAGGTTGGAAGTGAAGTTTTTCAAGCTTTAGGGTTTAACTATTATGACAATTTAGTTGTTTCTTCTTATAATTGTATTTTTCTAGTAAGCATGATTATTAATGTCGTATAAGTTCTAGGTTTGCATCCAAAGCAGGTTTTCTTCCTTTCTGTCTATGAGGCTTTTGAAATGTGAATCTAAGTATTCATGCATCTGATTGTGTTCCCCCTTTATTTGGCTATAACAGTTATTCATATGGTTCAATAAAATAGAAGGCTATGGTGCAATCTATTTTTTGCTATTAATTGCTGACAATCTTGATACAGGGAAATGCTGCATTCAAGGGAAGGCAGTGGAATAAGGCTGTTAATTACTATAGTGAAGCGATCAAACTGAATGGGATTAATGCAACTTACTATTCCAACAGGGCAGCGGCATACTTAGAACTAGGCTGGTAGCATGTTCTACTTTAACAATTATGTTCTTATAGTACTGCGTTCTATCAATATGCTTCTTGTATGAACTGAGATCTTCATATGCAGCTTTCAACAAGCCGAAGAGGATTGCAGTACGGCGTTATCTCTTGATAAAAAGGTGAGGATATAAAGGACATTCTCTTCCTATTACTCTGTAATTCTTATTCTTTGATTTTTTTAGCAGTTAGCCATGATATTTCTGTTGTCCTTGAAAAAGCGAGAAAACGCTTATCATTCACTGTGTAATATTGGTTAAGTTGATTAAAAGATTTTCAGTTTCTTAGGATAGCTAGAAAATGCTTTTGGTACCAGCAATTTGATGGGTATAAAACATGTGAAACGACAGTGTGATAAATATGAGGTTGATCTGAATACTTTGAGAAATGAAAATATTGACTGTCCTTTGGAATTCCACATGGAAATTATCAACTTCTCATGTTTAAATATATGTTGCTTATGTCAAGTTTATTTAGAAGTGCTGTTTGCAGTCATATTTGAATATATAGATCCTCATCTCATGCAGTGACACGAACTAGCTCCAAGATTTTGAACTTATATTTTTACTTAAAATTATCTACAAATATTTTCACTGAGATTTAATTGAACTTAAGGTTTTATAATTTTTATGTGGATGATTTTCATGCTAAAATTGATTTTTTTAAAATATCGATATCCAAATTTGAACTTTAAATTTATACAAAATAACAAAATGCAAAACTCTCATATTGTGATCATGGTTGCATAATTCCTGTGCAGAATGTGAAGGCTTATTTGAGACGTGGAACTGCTAGAGAATCTCTTCTTCGTTACAAAGAGGCTGCAGAAGGTGAGATCCTAATTTAGCATGTATCGAGCATGCTTTTTGTGAAGTGAGCTTGATCCACTGCCCAGTATTAATATTCAACTAATAGATCTACCTGTGTCACCTTATCGTTCCGAGATTCATAACCAAAAGATTGCTAAATCTTCACCTAATTATGAAAAACCTTTCCTCATCTCATTTTCATCTTTTAGCAAAATAATATTCAGTTTCAGTATTGGTTTTTTTAAAAAATAGTAGTTCCATAACAAAAGAGACTGCCCTTAGAAATTGAATCTTGATAATAGGTCATATATAAATGTACTACTGTAAGTTTCAGAAAGCCACGTGATCTTTTATCCCTTCTCTCGTGTACACCTTTCTGACAACCAATCTTCTTCCCTTGTTTTCTGCAGATTTCAAGCATGCTCTCGTCCTTGAACCACAAAACAAGGTTGCTAACCTTGCAGAAAAAAGACTCAGAAAATTGATGAGTTGATTTTGACATGATGATCTAAATAAATGAAGACGTGATCAACACTGCGGTAATTTTTTTCCAAAGTTGAGCAATTTGGGTAGAACAAAAACAAGGTAAGAGTTGAAGCTTCCTCTAGCGGCGCAGTGCATCTCTTATCCTCCATCCCCATGTTCTAATTGTATACTTCTCGGGGTTGACAGTCATTCTTTCAGTTTTGGCCTCATACGGATCCCATTGTCCTGTAAAGTGAAAAGAAAACCGTGAAAGAGAGAGAGAGAGAGAGATGAAAATGAGGCTCCTGTTAGTAAATTTCTAGTGTTAACAAAACCATATGGAGCCAAGTACATAGATGTTAAGTTGTATGTTTTGGAAGTTGGAGCAGAAAACTTGGTTATTTTGAACTCTGAGATGTATATACCTTCTGCTTTGATAACACATATATTTATATATTACTAACAAAATAGACAAGCATGTTAAGAGACAACAGAAGAAATTGGCCTTTTATTTGTTTTGAAAATACTTGTAACCACTTGAATATTTAATATAAAATAAATTTATAAGTACAAGCACTTATGCTTCTAAATTGAAGGTTGAGTAAATTTATAATTGGGGAAAGAAAGAAAATAGTTATTTTAGAAAACTGAGGTTTTATGTAAAGTAAGCATAAGAAATCAAACTAAAAAGAATTGAATTGTCAGAAGAAAAACCAAATTGCCTTTGGTTATTATTATTATTATTATTATTGTTAAAATAGTAATTTCACAATTTACAAATATTACAAATTTCGATCATACTTTAAATATATATATATATATATGTATATATTAGAAATAACATAGTAAATATTAAATAGTAATTTATAATTTGAAAATAATCCTTTTATTTTAATGTCCAAACGGCACCGTATTACAATTCACCTGTTCAATTAAAACTGAAATGAGAATAGTACGTAACCAAAATTACACTTCCAACAAAACTAAATTTGTTTTAGTTGTTGTGGCGTACCACGATCTTCTACATGCATGGACGGCTATGGCGTCTTACCTTATTCTGGTAAACGCCCATCTTCTACCTCCAAAATTCGATGCCTTGTCTCTTGTCGATGACGTGCATCTCCTGTCCCGTCTTATTTTCTATGACGATTCTTTCTAAAGGATGCTAATTTCGTTAATTTATCAACAGTAATTTCCTTGAGTAATCTGAACTTTCACGCTTGATCACCGAAGATGTTCAGATGTTTCAGCTTTACTGCGTCGAGGGATTGGTTCTTCCGTTACTCCTTCTCCTTCGCCGGCCTCCGCTCAGTGTCTACAGATCTCGGCGACACCACCGTCATGCACTGTTGGGTCCCCAAGACTCACAATCCTTCCAAACCCAATCTCCTCCTCCTCCACGGATTTGGCGCCAATGCAATGTGGCAATACGGCGAGCATCTCCGCCATTTCACCTCTCATTTCAACGTCTACGTCCCGGACCTACTCTTTTTCGGTTGGTCATTCACGGACCGGCCGGAGCGGACCGAGGGGTTCCAGGCGCAGTGCGTCGCTCGATTGATGGAGGCGCATGGGGTGCGGCAAACGAGCCTGGTAGGAATAAGCTATGGCGGGTTTGTTGGGTACAGCATGGCGGCGCAATTCCCGGAGAAACTGGAGAGGCTGGTGCTCTGCTGCGCTGGGGTTTGCTTGGAGGAGAAGGATATGGAGAATGGTTTATTTAGGGTTCCTAATTTGGAGGAAGCCACCCGCATTTTGTTGCCCCAGACGCCGGAAAAGCTCAAGGAGCTTATGCAATTCTCATTTGTGAAGCCTATGAGGGGTGTCCCCTCTTGTTTCCTTTCAGATTTCATAGATGTAAGTAAAAAAGTAAAAAAGGCTCTTCCATTATATTTCAAATTTTCATGTTTGTTTCTTTTTTTCTAATGAGAGATTTGCATGATGTACACAGGTGATGTGCACAGATTATGTACAGGAGAAGAGAGAATTGATCAGAGCAATCCTCAGGGATAGAAAGCTTTCTAATCTTCCCAAGATCACACAGGTCTTATTCCTTCTTCTTGGTGTTTTAACTCGAAACGTAATTAGGAAAGAATAAAAAAAAAAAAGAAAAGAATAAACTCATACCAGAAGTTCATCAAGCGAATGTCTTTGGATTCTTCAATTGAGCAAATAACACAATCAAACTTTGATGACAAGGAGAGCAATATCTTCTCCAGAATAGTGATATCTTCCATTTTCTCACAATGGAAACGCCTTTTGTTGCTGATTCCCATGGTTCTTGCACAATAGTTGGTGACAGATTCGCCATCTTTCATTTGTAGTCTCTCAAAATACCTTCGTAAGGCTTGAAGTTGTGCATGTTTCACTTGGGAAGAGCTTGATATCTTTTCTTCATGGAATCCCAAATATCTTTCAAAGTATCATTACTAAGAATTGTTTCCAGGATAGCATGATCAATTGCCTGAAAAAGATCATTTTGTACTCTCAAATCCTTGAGTTTCTTGCCTTCTAACTTTGTCTTTTGGGCATCAGTCAAAGCTGCAGCATTGTCTGGTTCTTCAATTCCAAACTCCACAACCTGCAAATACTCCTTTAGCATACTCCAAAAGTAATAGTGACCATTAAACATAGGGATTGTAGGCTGCATAAAATTAGTATTTGAAGCATGATTGTATGGGGGGATGAAAGAGAAAGCTATTTGCTTATTTTGTTTACCTTTTTTTTTTTTTTTTTTGTTTTCACTCTCGCTTTTGATTTTGGCTCACGTGTTTTACTTTTTTTCACTCTCTTCCTCTATCTTCTCTTTTCACCCTCTTCCTCCCGTGTTTTAGATTCAACGCTTAACAACTTTTTAAATAAAATATAAAATTTTAAAACAATAAAAATATGCAAATTTATTCAACAAAGTATAGTCTCTGTATTATATAAACTCTGTTTGGCCATTGCTATGGGCTTTTGATTGGAATTTGAAATGAAGCAGCCAACTCTGATAATATGGGGAGAGCAAGATCAGATTTTCCCACTTGAACTAGGGCAGAGATTGGAAAGGTAGTCTCTTATTCTGATTTGCTTTATATATAATGTGCATTTGTTGTGTGTATATATAATTGGTGATTGTTTTTCTTTAATGGGTTTATGGGGATGTGCTTGTATTATATATATATATATATCTATATCTATATATAGGCACGTGGGAGAAAATGCGGAGCTAGTGGTGATTAAGAATGCAGGGCATGCAGTGAATCTGGAAAAGTCAAAGGAGTTTGCAAAGCATTTAAGATCATTCCTGATTGCTGAATCACGATTACCCCATTCTTCATCTTTCTCAACCAACCTTGATAAACCCGATTCTCGAAGAGGCTTCCTTAATCAACCTTCGAGATAGGCCCCAAGGACCATGTAAAGTTTGAGTTGATTTGTATATGTATGTAGAGATTTTTATTTGTTTTAAATATATATGTATATAATTATACATACAGGTCTTTTATCCGTCACAAAACAAATCCACGGTTTCAAATTTTCTCCATCCATCAACCTGTTAACCAATCACTTTCTAAAGCTTACTCTGATCTTCACGCTTCTCCTCCTCCACTCAAAACACACAAAAAAAAAAAAAAACACCCAGATGGGCATCTCCGAGAACTACCCTTTACTCCTCCGTAATCTCATCACCTCCATATTCATTTTCGCCGAGAATTCCCTTTCCACCTTAGCTCAGAAATACAAGCTTCTCAACCTCCTTCGCTCTCTCCTCGTCGCATCTTCTCTCTTCTTCTTACGTCTCCTTTCTTCTCTTTTCTCTCCAAACCCTAATCTTAATCCCCTTCATGATTACCACAAGTCCCCTGGATATAAACGCGACCACTACATGCTCCCTGACACCGCCGCCGCCTCCGCCGCCGCCTCCGCCGCCGCCGACTCTGGTATTGGTCGGGCATTATCGCAGCTGCTCTCAATCATCAACGATCTTCCTGTTAGTTCCAGGAAGTACGAAGTAGTTCGATCTCTAGCCGAGAATCTTATGGATGAAAACCAGAGGGAGGGTGTTCCCGCGTTAAGAGAAGTCAATCGCGCCGCCCTGACGGCGGCTTTTGCGCGGACTATTAGTCAGCTTGAAACATCCATGGCGGAAATGCGGCGGGAATCGGGTGAGAATCCCGCTTTGGGGGATGTTGGACCGGTTTTACATGGTTTGAACCGGGTTCTACGAACCGTACGGTCTGCTGGAATAGGGGTTTTGGCCCGCATTGGGAATGGAAAGAGAGTGGATGTGGACCGGTCGGGCGGATGGAGTGAGAAGCTGGCGGCTGAGCTTCTGTGGCTGGCTCAGAAAATGGGAGCTTGTGGTTTTGGAGAGGAAGCTGTGGAGAGGTGGGCATCGGCTTCGAATTTGGCTTGGCTGGCTTTATCGGCTGAGCCACGGCTTCAGTGTTCCATGGTTAAAGTCGCAGGTATTTCTCAACCGTTGGATTTATTTTTTTGGAATATACTTGGGGCTTTATTGTTGAGGGTAAACCGAACCGCTCGTTATTTATTTATTTATTTCAAGGATTGAATTGCACGTATGCATAAATTAAACCAGGGGGAAAAAAAAAGAAAGAAGACTTAAATCTTTATGATCACATTTAAAGAATTGAATCTTCATATTATTCGCACATGGATTTAATTTGTAAATGGGAAATTTCGATATTATTTATGAAATATTATTTTAAACTTTTAATAAAAATGAAAATAACTATTTAAGACTATTATGTTTTCTATGAATATAATTAATTAATTTAAAATTAGAAAAACATTTTTAGTGAAACTTATTACCAAGGACTGAATTACTACCAATCATGGTAGAAGGAATATTTTCTAAATGTATTTATCTTTTATGCAGCGTTGTTATTTAAACAAGCCAAGAACACGAGAGAGGAAAAGGCGGAGGAGGATGAAGAAGAAAGACAAACAAAGATGAAACTGTTAATGGCATGGTTGCCATTGCTGTGTAGAGGTAGCAACGGGACTGATGTTCCGGTATTGAGCGTGAACGAAAGAGGTGAACTCGAGAAAATACTCGAAGACACCATTGAAACCCTGCAACAGCAAGAGCAGCAAGAGAGAGTTTTCTCCCTTTGGCTTCACCACTTCACTCATTGCTCTTCCTCCGATTGGCCCAACCTCCACGCCTCCTACTCCCGCTGGTGCACTTCCTCCCGCAAACTCTTCCTCCTCGATCACAATGACCCAAAAATATAAATACCCTACTCATAATGTGCCATAACTTGTAATGTTTGCTTCCCATTTTCAGAAATGGATTATATATATATATATACATACGGTAAAGTCTTAATTATGAAGTACATCGCTCCATTGTTCTTGGCTGGCTTCATCGATGTTATATCGTACACAAAATAAAGTAGACGTTATAACACAAGCATTCACAGTATAAACTTGGTAGAGTAGATGTCAAATTTCTCCGACGAAGACAACTGTGGCTCCTGCATAACAAACAATAGGGTTTATTAATAGGGTCATTTTCTGAAACAAAAACAAGTATAGATTAAGTAATAGGGTTTTTGAGAGAAGGAGATGGTTAAATTTACCCCAGAAGAATTGTTGGAGGTGAAGACTAGTTTATTAAGAATAGAAGCAATGGGACCATTTAGGCGTAGCCCACCAGATGATTTTGACTCACGAATTGCATTTCTCATGCAATTAAGCAATCGTCCATACGTTAATCCTGGTTCATTTTGAACTGCTTGTATGAAATTATATGTCATTGCCCCTGTCATCACCTTGCTTCCAGTAAAAGCCTGCACTTGTTTTCTCATATATTATTATCAATCTGTTCATACCCAGATTTTTGTAATTGTCTGAAATTTTTTAGGGTTATATGGGTGTGTATGTATGTATATTTAGTACAGATATCGATGACTGACCGTTGTATCTTCAGAAAGTTGATGATCATCACAGGCGCTAAAACAGACAGCTAATCCACCACTTGTTCCTTTATAAATTTCTCTTGGAGTTTGATCTTCCCAAATGTAATACCCTTCCCTATATTTTACTTTGCACAACCAGCTTTACCCATAAACGAAATTAAACTATTTCCAATTAATCAGAGAGCAGAAACCTAAGTACTGACCTGTTCATCCTGCAAACAAATGGCAGATCAAGAACAGTTCCGCTATGGCAAGCATCGATAATCCCGTGAAGCTTGGCTCCATAAGGCAGGGGCCTTACAATGGTGCCATTGATCTCGTCATCGATGATGAAGCCTTCTGTCTCGTAATCTAGAGGGCAAAGTGCCTCGTCGTTCCCGTCAACTTCATCGTCATCGTAGTCGGGTTCAGTCGTCCCATGACCTGAGAAGTGAAACACAAGCGAGTCCCCTGCCTGACAACCTTCCACTAACCATTTCAGAGCCAACCGGATGTTTCGTTTGGTCGGAGTTTTTAGTGGATTGGTCTCCTCTTCTACAGTTTTTTCAAGAATAAATTTATATATTATTCATCATCACAACATAATATAATCTTCTACGTAAGAGTATAACGCAACTCGAATTTATAACTTTTTATAAAATAAATAACCTAACAATCATTCAGTTATTCAAATATTTAGTCACGAATCAAAAAGTGCATATATATATATATATGTATATAATACCTGAGAGGAGAAGGACGGAATCAGGAGGAAAACCCATTTTGTTGAGTAGAAAGTAGTTCATGCACTTGACATCGTTGATGCTGCCCTTGAGCCTGTAAGGTTTGCCATAGTAGTTGATTCCACAGAGCACCGCCCGCTTTCTCCCAAAAGCAGAAGCAAGAGGGGATAAAGGTGGCGGTGGACGAGAACAGTAACTACTCCCGCCATATACAAAAGGGGCTGCCGGCGGTGGTGGGTAGGGAAACCTGGTGATGGCTTGGCACACAACACAGCGAACCGCCGTCGCGTCTGTTGGGACAAGCAGCTGCAGCCCACACCCACTGCACCACTCTCGCCTACTTCCCATGGCTTGTTGTTGAAGGAATCAGTAGGTAGGCGGATAGAGATAGATGAGATGAATCTATACGTAAATATAGAAAAAAAAAAAAAAAAAAAAGAACCAGATTCGCCATCTTTTATTTTCTTTTTGTAAGTGGGAATATATTTTGACACAAAACAATTTGGCATCTCAACTATTCACTTTGTTCAAATGATAACTTCTTCGATCTTTTTTTTAGATAAGAAATGTTTTTTTGTATGATACAATAATTTTTTTTTTTTCATTTATTACGGTAAAAACAAAATGAATAAATAACATAAATATAAGACAACAGAGTCTACAAATTTTTATTATTTTTTTTTTAATTTTATCTGAGAATTTCTTGTATTTTTATCTAATTAGTTCTAAAAAAATTTCTTACTAGTTTAATGTGTTGTTATTACATGTTAAATTGATATTTGAGATTAATTCTTTTTAAAGAGATTTCCAAGTAGCTTTTGATATCAAGTTATTAAGATATATTGTCCTAATTGTTGCTACAGTAGTAGTACCA